TCTTTGTTCATTTTTTTTCCCCACAAAGTCAACAACAAGTAGAAGAATTTTAAAGTCTCCATTACCTCTGTGAAAGGCAGAACCTGGTTATCCAAGCCATGTCAAGAACAGTAACAGTTGTATGATAGTAACGAGCCCAACAAGGCTTCAGCTGGACTAGCCAGAACTGTAGCAGGTTGATGACTGAAGAGCTTAATTACAGCTTTGCAGTTTGTTTGTCAGACTCACCTAAATATAGCCAGCACACCATAGTCTTCAAGCCCTTTGAGATGATTAACTGTGGGATAATTCCAGGCTTTCAGACTTTGTCTTTTTAAGCTCTCTCTGATGACTCAGATTAGTTTAGAGGAGACATGGAAGGAAGGCAGGAAAGAATTAAGATACTCCTCCAAACCCAGACATGGCAAATACTGAGCTCATACTATGGGGCCAAGAGCTGGCTGGACCTTTATGGAGACCAGGTCCCTGCCTTGTCTATGTCAGATAACTGCCTCTTCCTCACCAATACAGGTGACATGGGGATCTCCTAGTGATCAAAAGGGCCTGCCCAAAGGGAAGACATTAAAGAGGCTTGGACAGGGTTTGCTACCACAGTTAACTGACTTCTCACAGAAGCAGTGCAAGGCAAACATTTGAAAAAGATCAGATGAATACTGGAGATATTCAGAAGCTGTCTGGACATGATCCTGGGCAACCGGCTCTAAGTGGCTCTGCTTGAGCAGGGGGGTTGGATCAGATGACCTCCAGAGGTCCCTTTCCACTTCAACCCCTCTATGAACAATGTGAACAATGCACAGGGAGAGGTATGTTGGAAATAGCCAAGGAGATGACAGAAGCCAGGATGATTTTACAGCAGCTAAAGAAGTGGATGCATCCCCTGTGCAGAATTAATATGAAAGGGGCAAGACTAAATCACTCGTGCTCACAAACTCAGCCAACCAACCTCACATAGACTAAGCCCCTCAGGTTTAGGGCAGGCAGAAACAGCCTCATTTGCACTCTTTTCTCACATCTGAAATTTATTAAGGAATGGTAAGGGGACACCAAGTGAGGCAATGTCTTTGGGGAGGAAATAGACTAAAGACAAGCCCTACAGTAGTAGGAGACACCGTTACGGTTATAACTGCTTCAGGCACACGTACACCATATGGTTGAGAACAATCATTTCAAGGCAAAAATAAAAGTTAAATAATGCCCATATTTAGTATCATCACCTGACCTTCTGACCAATGATCATGTATAATTATCTAGGCAGTAAATTTTTATGTCAGTCTCCCAGTGAGACCTAGTCTTCGCTTCAAACTCTAGTTCTACCATTTTCATGGCTATTAAGGTTAATGCCTATTCACTAGTGTCATGTTCCATCTTCACTGATCATTGAGATCTTGAAAGTTAATACCAACTCAACCCTGGAGTACCCTCTTTATATTCTGGGGATACCTGGCACGATGCTAGATACCACCAGATCAGAAGATGCTTTCTGGAATTTCCTGCCTAGTTTTACATGAAAATTTTACACATAATTATCTTGTACAACATACATCTCTGAACAAAGGAACTAGGAGGAGTTTGATTTTTGTGGTGTCAGGAGTAACAGGGGTAATTAATTGTGGATGTGATTCCAGGAAAATCTAGAAATAGTATTCAGCTGTTAAAAGACCATACAAATCCCTTAAAGGAAGGCCTTTTACAATTCACTTAGATGCATTAGCTTAAGTCTATTCTCAAGTGAGACATGTCCAAGACTGCTGACTGCTAAAAAAATCATTGTTTCATTCTTTGCTTTCATTACTGCAGACACTGCTATTATAAATTAAGAAAACATACACACACACACAAAAAAAAAAAAAAAATCATGTGTGGGAAGTCATTCTACCTTCAGGCGAGAAACACCTTCCACCACTACTTGGGTAATGGTAAAATGCTGGACTCAGGCTATGATGTTTCAACAGCAAACACAATTGCACTTCTGTAGAAGTGTTCCTATACTTTCGATGCCCATGCTAGAAGGCAGCTGAACACTGAATGAAGCAATTTTGTTGTCCAGCCATACCCTAGAGATTTGATTTTTGGGTGTATACTTAGGAAAATATCAATCTTTCTTGCCCTACTTTTAAATTGGTATTTAAATTCCTAGGAACTTGACTACTGTTTTCAACATCTAATTTTTTTTTTTTAATAGGGTAACAATTTCAAGTAGTTGGAACCTGTATCTTGAGTAGGAATTTGTCACGTCAATTTTCAGGAGCAATTTCCACCTAATAAGTTTCTGATACAAGGATGTTAATAACAGCATTTGTATTTTTTGTGTTCAGCAAACGTGAGGAACACCATCAGCATGTGGAGGAAAAATGAGCTCCAAATACTATGTCAAAGATTTGCAGAAGCATTTTTGGAGTCTTTTTCCTTAAACTCTAAAGTTCCAATATTAATGTTGTGTTTGTGTAGTCTAAAGATTAGCATTTCTGCTCTGCAGCCATTTCCTAAGACAACAACAAAGTCAGAGAATTGAACATGTTGGGACACTTAGGTTCTGGTCAGAGCTGAAGCAGCAGCTTTCCATGCTCAGCAAACTTGGACAAAACACTGAGTAAGATATGTTATTTAACCTCCCTTTACCTAAGTTTACCTCCATGGGACTATTCCCCCTGCATAAGGGCGTGTGCTAAGTTCATATTTGTATAGTGCCTATAACTTTTGATGGGAGTTTTTTCAGAATTGCTAAACATTGTCACTATTATTGAGTAATAAACAAACAAGTTATTTGTGCTAACAGTCCAAGTCCTACCTGGGCACTATTTTGTACTATGGTGTGAGGAAATAGTTTAATTTTCTTTTATTTTCTATTAAGCCTAGAGCAAAACAATTCAAGCACAGAAAAAAGACTGCTTACAGAAAGCTTTCTGAATTGCAAGTGACCATACAATATTTTAACACACCCAGTCAGCAAAATTTTCCACTCTAGCTGTAATATAATAAACCAGGACACTGCCTCTGCTTTGGAGCCTTCCCTAATGGTCTCATATCCTCCAATCCTCCAAAATCCTGTAAAAAAAAAATTAAAGTTTTCTGTAGCAGAGAAGGTCAGCATAGACCTCCATTTTCCCCTATGGCCCTAATGAATATCAAAGTTTCAGTACTTGGACCTTTGCTGATCTTAGCTATGCCTCAGCATCAGTGGCAGAGAGGTGGGCTGCAAGCAGGCAGGCACCAAAATAATTGGGAACTAATACCCTGCATAAGAGTAGGAACTACCTGACTGTGTTCATAACAACATGGTCTTTTCAGCGATTTCAATCCTGCATCTTTTCTTAATCAATTCCAGCTTTCGACCATCTCAAACTTAAGTCTGGGGTAGATGAAAACAATGACAGTCAAACCCAGCAGTAATGCATTATTTCAGCACAACGATAAAGCAGAGAGATGCATTTCCTTGGATGCAGACCTGTAAAAAAACCTCTCAAACAATGAGCAATGGGGGCACAACCTCCATCAAGTGAGCTGATAAAATCTCCTCCACAGATGTCTCTTCTTTGCCTCGTAGTACCAGAATGTTTTACTTTGGCCACTTTGCTTTGACCTGAGGGCCAGACTCCACCAGAAATCAAATAATGTGCAATATATTTCATACAGAAACTCCAGTGAACAAGATCGAACCCCATCTCAGTGCATTATAAAACCGCTATGCTCTGATTTAATATTTCCCTGGTTGCGGTTTTGCATATTAAGAGTAACTTGTGAATTGTGCTTGTGGCCTTACTATGTTGTTCTGTTTTGCTATGAGCAGACACAGATTAGATTTCTGGTCTTATACTCTTTACCCTGACTGAGTGGTAAAACAAGAGCAAGATCAGAGCCCGGGGGGACAAGGACATGTCAGCAATCTGGCTGAGTAGTTAAGCAATGAAATGATAAGTATGACAAGTAGTTTCATTCAATTCTTAAATTTAAGTACAGCAGCTCCAATACAATGCAAAACAGATGATAATATGCATAAATTGGGAAAAATGTGCTGGAAGGGAAACTTTCTGTCCTCATCTTCCCACCCTTCAAAAACAAGCAGTCAGCATGTATCAAATTCATTTTTAAGAAGGGCCCATTAACATACACTATTAAATACTTATTTTGTTCAAAAAAGCACAAGTGGTGCTAACTGCCGAAACACCAGAGTTGAAATTCACTCCAACAGAAATTAGCTGTTGTAATCCTAGAATACCTACACCACACATTGATCTCTTCAACAGAAGTTAACTCATATTTTCCCTTGACAAACACAGATGTATGTGCATATATAAGTATGCTTAGTCTGGATATGCCTAATAAACAGTTAATCTGATTTAAAGTAGACCATCTTTTATAAAATTACTTTGACATACCTGTGGAATTGGACATATATAAATCCCAACACAAATAAACAGTATCCGGTACTAAGCTCTTAAAATCCAGATTTATGACAGAAATGTGGAGACAGACTCTTCAACAGGGCAAGGCTTAGCAGCATTACAATAGATCAAGACAAAGTATTGTTCAACATGATTTTCTCCCTTCTCAATGGCATATCCAGCTGTCCTGTAACACTGAATTGAATCGTAACACAAAATGTGGAATTGCAAGTGAAAGTGACCCCGTTAGAATAAGAATTAGAACTTAAAATTGGTATTCTCATCAGTCAGACAATTTATTCAATTATGGTTTGACTCACTGATCTTAAAGGTCTTTTCCAACCTAAATGATTCTATAATTCTATAACTTGTTACTAGAAGACTCTTTTCTTTGAAACTACAGTTGCTGTTACTGTTGCCATTAAATCCTTAAAGAAAAAATACAAGCTCCTCATACTGCTCTCTCCCTATGAGCCAGCAAGTGAACAGAGATGAGCCAACACCTTATTAAGTACACACAAAGCTTTTAAGATGGCCTACAGAAAAAAACAGGATGTCTATAATACACATAAAAGTACTGTTAATAACAAAGACAAAATTTTGGTATGAAAAACTTACCTTAGGAGAAGAAGAAAGCTCCCTCGATGCAGGAAGAGCTGACATGTTCTCATTCAGGCCTATCTCTGTCTTTGGCAAGAAGTTTGGTGGTTCAGGAGCCTTTCTTTTCATCTTCTTTTCCGGTTCTTGCAGTGGTGCAGCTTTAATTAAAGCAGGGCTTGATTTTGGTTCATAAAATGGATTTGATCTAATTAAAAGAAGGGAAACATGTATCTTTGCTATCTCCTTGGAAGTAAAACCAAAAATAAGACCTGTTGAGAGAAGCCAATGACTAAAATGCTTTTATTATCCCACATAAGAATATGTTTTGCCTTTCCATACTACTTTTTCATACGATTGAAAAGTGAGTTACAACAGTTAAAACTGCATTAGGTCAGAATTTCCATAAATTTCTAAAGTCCTCTAAATTACAGAATTTTTATCAATTGCATAAAGCTAACTCTTCAATTATACTTAGCTATATATCAAAGAGTGACCTGATTTACAGACAAGTTTTATACCAACAAATTTGAGTGAAGCTGCTACCTGTTTAATATCCTAATGAACAGAATTAAGAATGCTTCATTAGAACAGAGTTAAGATTTGGCCACTTTTACATGCATGCTTCAACATGGCTTTAGAGGCCCCACTCTTGGCTGTCCAAGTCTGAAAATTTTGGCCTCCGTAGGTACACAATCCGCATCAAGTGTATTTTAAACTCTGCAGCATACAGGCACCACACCCCTCCAAGAACACTCTTCGGATAAGAGAATACTGTAAGAAAACCACAGCTGACTTGCGTATGCCTCTCCAGATACCAGTAGCCATCATCTGCCTATTTTGAAAGTGCTTTTTATAACTAAACGTTGTTTAAGAAACACAATAAACTTCTTCCACCAGGTGGATGCAGTCCAAAGAATTATTCTTAACTCTAGCGTTCATGTTCCAACTCCACATTTGTTCCACTCTAAGGAAATACTTCCACAGCATTTCCAAATTTTATCTACTAGTTTGATGCATCAAATATCAATCAATAATACATCAAATAATGGCTTCTACTATGTACTTAGAAAAGCCAGCAATTTTGTATCGTACTAAGGATACTTATGGGAACCTTCTCTGCACTGGATTATTTTATTCATAATCTTCACTTTTCATATTTAGCAATCCAGAACTGGATGGCAACTGACATGTTAATTAATTGCTTTCTAGTCCATACTTCCCCTGTAAGATATATTTATCACATATCTCAAACAATGTTTATGTAACTAAATCACTGCAATTCCCAAAGATCTATCTGCATACAGTTATATAAACCATAACTAATCATGACAAATAACCTCAGTCCCTTGAATCTAACTCTAGATGGAAACAATAACACATGTGGCATTAGACAAAAGCCTACCTAGCTAGATCCACTTACAAATTTCCTCTCAGGATAAGAATCATGAGCTGGTACACACTGTTTTTAAACAACTACAACAGCAAAATTTGGGCCCAAAAAACCAACTATGCATGCAGTTTCCTTTCACACCACACCAAATTTCTCTGTTTTGTGTACTTTCAGTATGAATTTATGTTTTTCAGTCTCATGGACTGATTTTAGAATTTATTTTAATGCACTTTACCATCACCCTCTTTTCACTGAAAAAAAGCAAGCAATTGGTAATCCACACGGCAGAAAATAAGTCTGCTTCTGAAAGGCAAAGATCACTGAAGCACATAAGCGAAGACCAGGCATAAAACCTCCAGACCCTTTGGAGAATCTGCAGCTGCTTGTTACAGAGAAAGAGATCTAAATCCAGATACTGAAGCAAAAGGAAAGACTAACACTACAATAACTCATCTGCTGACTGCAGGCAACTTTCAGGTGTTCCCACTTTGCTGTTCATCAAGCGCCAAGCCACCAGTGCAATCAAAACTAAAGGCATCATCAAAATAATGAGCTAAATAGAAACGGATGGGTGTGTTCCATGGAAGGCAGCAGAAAAAGGAGGGTATTCAGGCTGGAGTAGAGAATGCACCTAGCTGTCAGTAGCTCTAATTTAGCTGACAGCCCAGCTCAGCTGTCTTCAGACACCGGAAAGTTCAAAGGGAGGTGAAAATGAAGATAAAAAGAGATAAAGGCTGAAGAACAATGTATTCTAAAGAACAGCACAAGGTTTTCTTTAGTTCAACAAGTTAGCATTCTGAACAGCCAATAGGCACAGCATGTTTGGCGGGAAAGTAATTTAACCTCTGTGCACTTGGAATTAGAAAGGTGTATTTCTAAAGTGTTAAAATGAACTTGGTGCAAGAAAAAAACCCCCCACCTTATCAATGAGACAAAAAAAGTTAGGAAGAACCATCTTTTGAATTTTTATGCTCCAGACAGAATTGTCTGCGATGTATGCGTTATCTTGAAGAATTGCACCCTACTGCACACACCAGAAGGAAGTGCTAGAAGGAGACAAGTGACTGCCCTTTTTTCCTGGAGAAGAATTTGCTTGAAAGCCAGACTAAACCCTCACATTTTCATCATAGTATGGGCAGAACACACGCACACTACTTTCCACCTTCCCCTCTGCACTGCTTTTAATTGGTCTTACAAATATTGAAAAAGATTTTTTTAAAAAAATAAGTTTAATACAGAAAAAAACCCCAAACATTTCTTGCCCCAAGAGGCTATACATTTTGAAGTCATGGGGGTCTGATATGTAGCAGTTTGGTCCAACAGCTTCTACATGCCTATACAAGAAACTAAACATGGGAAAAGTCTGTCTGAAAAAAGCCTTAGCTGAAAAATAATAAAGCTCTCTTCTCTGAGGTCAGCTCCCATACCATTTGCTTCTGTGAAGTTATTCAATTGATCCATGTAACATGATCTGCTTAAAGAGGTACTAGACTGTCCACCACAAAATTAAAAAAACCCAAACCTGACAAACTACCTGGCATTAAGCTGTCACTGGCTTGTGGCTTCTTGTGCAACAGGCAGCTTCAACAGATGGCAGCTCGATAGTCTTTCCAATTAGACAGCATTATTCTGAGCCATGCAACGATTAACAAGATAAGAAGCCACAGAGCCAAATAATATCTGAATGCAAGTTTTATTCTGACCAATTTAAAAATTATTCTGATCAGCATTACTGGTTAACTGAAAAAAAAAAAAAATTAACATTTTATTGAGGAGGAAAACCAAAGCTGTCAGTGCGGTAGGGCTAAAAGATCAGGCAATATTACCAATCACAAGTACTAAGGTTGAAAGCATTATACTTTAAGTTGTTGTGAGCTATGCTAGTTTCAAATAATTAAACTTAACTTAGCAAGGTGTGTTGTCCTTTACTAACAGGTGGCCACCTACCATTTTGATTTTAATGTATAAAATTCAAAAGCAAAAGCAGAATTTTACACTAACATTCAAATGCCCAAACTAACAAAAGGCAAATGTGTTCCTTATCTCTTAGCTAGGTATGAGAATTTAGCCAGAGGAAGCATGTTTTGAGAGCATAGTTTAACAGCAGAATACACGTACTGGATCATCTAAGTCCCTCTGTACCATGCAACGCTTCATTATGCTTATGCTTGTGACTGTGCTTTGCTTATGTGTGTTGTGAAATCTTACGTTATCTTCACAACCATTAGTGAAATATGTTTCAATTAAGCCAATTACCCAAGGTAAATCCTTCACAGAGGTGCAGTGAGGGTAAGTACCTTTTCCAAGATTACAATGGGAGTCTGTTACAAAACTGGAGTCAGAGTTCAGATCCTGGAGCACTTTGTGTAAGCTCTGAGTCCAGAATCAGAACTAGAGATCTGCCAGAGTAGAGTGGGACAAGGGTCCTGACAACAACTGATGTGTCCATGTTCCCACAACACATCATCGCATTTCACACAAGACACAAGAGGAAAATGCCAAGTGGTGCATTAAGTGAACTCCAATGAAACATTTAAGACACAGGGATAAAAATACATTGTCTTTCCTAAGCAACAGTGTATGTCTTTCAGGTGCCTTCTATTTCTCATGCCTTCTATCTATCAGGTTCAAAACCACTCCTGGGGAAAGCACCGGACCAGCAGTACTCAAAAATTGTTAAAAACTACCCAAACCAAAACAATCAAAAGACAGGATGTTAGGAGAGAGGTTGAAAATAATATGGAGAGTTTTCTAATGCTGTTATATGACTGAGGTGGTCAGCCTTGTCTTGAATACACTGCTCAGGCCAAGTCAACACATCTTAAAATAGATACATAGCAGAAGAAATAACAGGGTCCAGAGACGTGCGGTGAAAATGATTAGAGAGATGAAGAGACTTCTGTATGAAGAGAGATTGAAAAAGTTAGCACCATTTAACTCAGACAAGTGACAAGCAATGGTGAACATGCTAGAGATATACAACACGGCAACTGTTTATGGAAGATAAATCCAACACTATCCAATACTACTAATTGTTGTTTTGATAAGCCAGCAGAAGAGAGTGTATGGGATTGGAAAGGTAACTTATTTACATCAATAAAAGGAAACACATTTCATGTAAGATCTTGGTTTTTTGTGGAACTCTGCCTCAAATTGACACTGAAGCCTAGACTTTAATAGGATTTGGAAGAAGATTAGCCACTTAGATAATAAAAGCATCAATATTCACATTAGATAAGAAACAATACACATCTGGACATAAACCTTCATGATTTAGGGCACACAAAATCTACCAGCTGGCACTGCCTATGAAAATATTTCCTTTGGTGCTCACCGTACAAAACCTTAACAGAAACGTCCTACTGAAAAATTTGAAAATTAATGACATGCTGTAAGCATAATAGTGCTTGTAGGTGTGAGTTAATATTACAAGTCCTGTGTTCCTAGACTGGAATTTTATTATTACACTTATTCCTCCTGTGCGTTTCAGTATAACGATTCAAAGGTTCTTCCTGCCACACTGCTACCCAACACATTTAACAAATGGTCTCCATGTCTTTTTCAATGACATGGCGCTCCTGTAACCTGGGAGGAAAATGTGGAGAGGAAGCTACTTTGGGGGTAAGGACATAAAAAAGTTATGCATAAGATGTAAAAACCTATTTTAAAGTATTTTTTGACTCCTTATCCTTTCATCTTTCCATGGGAAGCTGCTTTTATAAGGAAAACACAGATCAGATTTATGTTCAAGTAGGATCCACCGATGGGGAGTTTATTATTATCCTTGAAAAAAAAAAAAAAGGAATAAAGCAAATGGGGTCATTACAATAAGAAGGTGGCTGTTGTAAACAAAGGGCTAGAGAAATCTACAGTACAGTGCACAGAAAAAATAAAGCTGCCTGTTACAACGCTGCTGCAAGCCCATTTGGCACAGATTTGCTTAAGGTGGAAATGTGAGTATAAATATAAACCAGAGAAAATTCTTCGCTTGCCCATCCACATAGCTTTTGCTCTTTCTGCTCTTCTCCTCAGTCTTTGCTCTCCTCTATACCCATATCTTTGTGGGTGTAAAGTACATATATTTTTTTCTCCCTGCGAATTCTGGTGATCAGTGAATGATCAGGGATGCCTGGTGTGACCATCAACAGTGTGCTCACACTGTGCTCTGAAGACACAGCAGCCAGTGCTGTTTGTTCAGGCAATGCCCCAATGAATGGAGCTGGCAGAGATTATATTCCCCAATGACTTTTTTTTTTTCCCCACAGAACAAATAACAACAAACCCATGGCCACAGAGCTTTAAGAGGAAAAAAACCCTGCAGAGTCCTGTATACATTTCTATTAGAGTGCATGGGAATCCTTCAATTTCCACCAGCTATAAACAGAGAAACATAAAGATGATATGACACCTGTATTAATATTAAATGAAAGCAATGCAAATGTCATGCCATGATAAATCTCATTAAATAATGTAAAATTAAATGTTAATTACAGTTGTGGCCTGTAAAATTGCTCACATGTAATCACCATAAACTGTCTCATGAGTGGTGTGGTTGGTGACTAATGACCAGAAGCAAGGAGTTAGTATATACCTTCAAACCTCCCAAGCTGCACAGCTATTGCAAAAAGCTCTCACTCCTTGTTAGGTTTCTATACTATAATACAAGGCAGTCAAGTGTGAGTTTGTAAAGTTTTATGTGTGGTTATGATAAAACAAACAACCTAAGAAAGTGCATATGGTGTTATCTTTCCCACGTAGAGATTCAGTTTTATGAGACTCTAAAAAAGGCGCTATGCAGACTGCAGAACGCTGTTCCTTTTTATGCACTGCACCAATATAAAACAAACTCTCCATTATCATTAACAGAAATTATTATATTATGTCGTAAAAATAATGGCAAAAAGGACTGGAAGGACCAAGCTCTGCTGCTCCTTAATTTTTGGCTGATTTGCAATTGTCAGGGCATGAAGTGCCAAAAAGGTACACAGACTTGTTCCCTATCAAGTAATTTGCTATCAATGAGGCAAAGAAAAGTTTCCTAACTGATCACGATCAGCTGAATTAGCATGACTTGGGGGTATAGTATTTCCTGCTGCTGAGCTGCCTAGGGATCAGTCTGTCCTAAGGAGGTGATTAAGGATCACCATGGTTGAACCCAATATACCTCAAGATTAAGCCAAGGATCCCACTAATGCTTCTAAAGCTGCTGAAAGATGAAGAATCATACTTACTCATCTAGCTCTTCCTCTTCAGCTTTAGAGGTATCTGCATAGAGGTATTTGCTCATATCCACTGGTCTGACATTCTTCCTTTTTGCAGGTTGTGGAGGAGAATCTCTTAGAGTTACAAATGTTTCAGGCTCAGGATCTGGCTCGTCAAATGGGTTCAAGTACTCTGGGGCATCTTCATCCTTGAAGGGATTGTAATTGTCAGCATAGAAACTTTCTTCTGGCTTTGAAGATGAAGCTATTTCAGTGTCCGGTTCTACCAAACAACAAAAAAATCATTAAACAGATTTAACATAGAAAAAATGTGAAACCATTTTATCAGATCTTTATATTCTGAAGGCTTATGAAAAGGTCTGCTTCTTAACTCTCAATGCGTAAAGTTCTAGCCTTAGATGAATTTTCACGCTTTATTTATTTACAGAGTAACCTTGTTTGTTCAAAAATAGGTCATTTAAAAGGTCATTTCATCTAGAGTATATTGAATAGGTTTCATTTTCTCACTTACTAAAGCTCTTCAACCTAATTAGTTACGAGTTTTCTTATTTGTCATATAAATGGTATTGCAACAGATTTTAAAACATTTTCCCAAGCTATTAGCCAATTTTTATCCTAACAAAATGTTCTTAATTATTTATTTTGACTTTTAATAAAGAAAAAAGATAACCTGTATTTTATAATAAAATTACTTTTACTGGATATTAAAAATGGTGATAGTAAGTAGGCAGTCTTTTAATTTCTTAAAATGACTGAACTAAAAATCAGTTATTAGGTATGACCAGTAATTACATTTCAAAACACACATATTTTCACTGCTAACTGCTCCTGGTAACAATACATACTCTCACAGTAAAAATGAATTTAAATTAACCCTAAAGAGACAGATAATCAAATTGCTCATCTATTATTTGGGCTGTACAACAAAAAGTTATTAGCAACCTGGAGCTGCATGCAGTTCTTTAGAGTAACAGACACTACAGAAAAAACATTACACGAATGGCTGCTGGATACTGAATAATACAAATCCCCATACAGCAATACAACATTTCTTACTAAGACACTTAGTGATGTTAACCGTACTCTTCCTGCAGCATCAAATGATCAGAAGCTCAGTTCAATAGTGGATTTTATGTACTTTCAAAATCAATGCAAATAGGAACGTCAATGTAGTGTCACTAAAACCTGATTTTCAATAACCACTCTCAAATGATTCTTAACAAAAAGTGTTTCTTTTTCAGACTTATGGTTACTAAATTGAACAAAGCATGCCGTTTAGTTTTAAAAGAAAAACTCTAAAAGTTATTTGTATCCAGGCTCTAAAAATAAAAAGATGGAGTTCCAAGTGTGTTTGTCACTAACAAATATTCGGGAAGACGAAATTGCTAGTCACATCACTAATGAACGGAACGGGCAGCGAAGGAAACAGCACTGTCATTACTTGGTTTTGGATGGATGATGTACTGAAGTTGCTAAAAAAAAAAGTTCACCCTGTCTCCAGCCATTAGCACAGCCCAAGGTGATAGGAAGCCCTACCCCATGAAGCATGACTGACTATAACCTACAGTTTGAACAAGAGCCACTCCTAGTTGGACAGGAGTATGGTCCCCAGATGCAGGTAGCAGCTTCACCTACCTATGCATTGGAGTAGTTAGCAGTCACTGGACCAGGGCAAAGTCTTGGAACAGGAAAGGTTTTAGTCCTTCTTGGAACAACCAAAACCTATCAGGGACTGGAAAGATTTCATTTTAGGAAGAACCTCACATCTCTAGTGCTCCTCCTCTTCTTGGTTTTTCACGTTTGAACCTCAAAGACTGTGTTAGCATATTGTTTTCTACATTTCTAAGGGTCTTTTTCTGAAGTAATGGATCATTCCTCTATGGTCAGAAAACAGAAATCAAATAGGTTTGGCTGGAAAACCAGAATAAAGTAATCAAAATCTTACTTAAGCCCAGTTTGGACCCTCAGGAGATAAATCACTCATCTGAGATTGAGGGCGATTTCAGCTGGGTGAAACAAAATAAAATTGTACTTTGCCAGACAATACTGCTGGTTTTAACTGGCAGATACGCTTAAGACTAGATACAGTGCTTCTGCCTGTGGGATTTCCCCATTGTGATTATTCAGAAAGTTACTTTAAAAAATTCCTTTAATTCCAGGTAAGGTTGGCAGTTTCTTTTTCCCTTAGCAACCTGGTCCAATTTAGCATTAAAGCAGCAACATATACAGCACACATCTCTCTGTGTCTCATAAGTTCTTATATTAAAATTCCATTTCAGAACACAGCTAACACTGTTTCAAGTCAAAAACTGGAGTGAAAAAGGAGACTGAGAGGAAGTCTAAACTGGACATTGCACTGAAATGTGATGAGACAAAGGTAAAGTGAGATCACAAAAAGTTATTATGCTTAATGGTCAGTCTTAACACTACCAAAATGTGTTCTAAAAGAACTAATTGATCACAATCCTTGTGACTAACAGTAAAAAATCCAAACAATCAGGCTTGCAATAATAGTCTTCAGTAAACCTAAAAAAGAGGTTCTGTTACTGTTTAAACTGGTTAAGCCTCATCTGAATGTCATAAAGCAACATTTCGTCTGTGTCTTAGGAGATGGACATATAGACAAACTACTGCAGGATAAACCAGGGTGTGTATTTGCAGTATGTCAGCTGTAGTGTATGTGTTCGCTCCTACTCCAGAGTAAATACAACATGCTTATCCCTTAATAAAAGGCAATAAACTACTGGGCGTTTATCCTGGGAGAAAGGGTAGTTACTGCACAGTAGGTGATGCGTATTAAGCTCACACTCTGGTTTGTGTGTGGTTATTTGTTCATAAGCCTGCATCCTTATAAGAAAGATGTTTCAGAGAAAGCCACAATAAAATATTGAAGGTCTACATTTTAACTGACACGGGAAAAGAAATCATTCAAGGCAGAAATTCTTAAACACAAACATGATCAAATCAAGCAAGAATCCTTTGACAGTATTATAGATGAAATATATCAGAGCAGAGCCCAACATTTGGTATGTATTTTTTCATTTATTTTAAGCTAAAACTGGAAAAGAGGTTCTACATCGGCTTACTTATATCACTCTAGTGTGCAGTGCAGGTGGTCATGACAAACTAAAATTTCACCCTGAGATGTCTTCAGTGTGGGTATCTGCAGCTGAGCTAGACCCCTCTACAGTCAAAGCTTATAGGTATATGTTCAAACTGTTAATGTCTAAAATCAGGTGAGCCAAATCCCACCCTTACTGCATAGGTATGCATGACTTGAAGCTCATGGTAGTCATAATACTACTCAAATGTTACCCACACATTTAGTGATTTGATGAGCTAGGCCAAACAAAAATGCTTTTGATATCTGCCTTCAAAAGACAGCTTCATAGAAAAAGCACAAGTAACCTAATGAAATGTAGAAAAATGACGCATGTCTTGATCAAATTATGCAACTTATTGATGATATTTTAACCAAAATTTTTGCTACTTTAAACTCTGCTCAAATCTTAAAATATTTTATCAAGAGAGTGCACAACTATGAATACCTGTTTCTGCAACTCCATATGATGGATGACTGCACCTGCACATGAATCTGTTGATAAATACACATCATCATATCTGAGCAAAACTTGCTGATAACTCACAAGTAGCATTTAAACAAATATTACTAGAAGGAATGTCAGTAATATTTCCTGAAGTTAAAAACATTCAGGGAAACAATCTCGTAAAACTATACGGTAAGCTTTTATTTTTAATTTGCTTTTAACTGTCTCCTGTAAATGATGAGTTAAATGCTTGTTTAAATCTGATAAATTTTAAGGTATAGTGCAAACTTTTTTTGAAATTTTTTCGATTTCAACACGATGGATCAAGTGCTGTAACCCTAACCAGGACAAAATTCTCTCTTGTTCATTGGCTAAAGAGTAACTACAGGTTTGGCCTTGGACACAGAGCATTGCAGATCGGTGCTCCAAGACTTCTGGCTTATTAATTAGAAGTTTCCACAAAATCCTACACACAGGCTATTTATCAAACATATATATTAAATACATGTTCCTTAGATTAAGAGAGCTTCTAAAAAGTATCATTTTCAAGAAACTTTTATAGGCAGAATTTTATAGGGGCTCAACTAGAACCCACTTGGCTGCTCATTCTCTCTCCTCCTGTCATCCAGGGTACTATTTTTTTCCCCTCTGCTTCCTTCAATCTTCCCACAGGACAGAGGGTCCCCACAAGGGTCCCCACCTGAAGCCAACTAGGCTATCTCCCACAGTGTCTCTGAAACCCTTTAGGACTAGCTTTTATATCAAGTCTTGGTCATCACTTCAGGAGCCTCTCTACAACAAATTTAATTGCTAGGACAGTGACTCAACAACACTGCTCTTAAAGCTGCAGCCACTGTTTCCTTCTCTGTAACAGACATTTTCTAAGGATCCAATGGTGTTGGGAAGTGCATATAGACGGACTGAACATACAACAGCTTAAAAGGGGCTTATTTCCCTCTTCAAACTGATTTTACACTAAGGAGTCAACACAGATTTCCCTGCTTCCCCCTAATCACTAGTCACAGCTGAAAACACAGGACTCCAGTTTTTACTGGAACTAATTTTTTCAATTGCAGTTCTCTACAATGACAAAAAAAAAAAAAAAAAAAAAAAAAAAAAAAATTACCATTTG